TACAGTGGTACCTCGCAAGACGAATGCCTCGCAAGACAAAAAACTCTCTAGACGAAAGGGTTTTTTGTTTTTTGAGCTGCTTTGCAAGACGATTTTCCCTATGGGCTTGCTTCGCAAGATGGAAACGTCTTGCAAGTTTGTTTCCTTTTTCTTAACACCGTTAATACAGTTGTGACTTGACTTCGAGGAGCAACTCATAGAACGTAGTGTGGTAGCCTTTTTTGAGGTTTTTAAAGCTTTTTGAGGTTTTTGAAGCTTTTCCAAAACTTTCCCGACACCGTGCTTCGCAAGACGAAAAAAATTGCAAGACGACAAAACTCGCGGAACGAATTAATTTCGTCTTGTGAGGCACCACTGTAGTAATGGTATTTTTTATTGCTCAAAAACTTAAGTGAAAAATTACAGACCAACTCTTATTTTATAATAAGAGTCTGACCTTATAGAGTCTGGTCTGACCTTATAGGCTCAAGTATAACAGCCATAAATTAAGGCTCTCTTTCAACCTTCTCAGCCCTGAGAACAAGAAAAGCCCTGACATTTCTTGCACAGGGGAATAGATGCAGGCCTCAAGCATGATCACCAAGCACACAGACACAACTCAAACTTTCCCCACCTGACCGTATACTCAACACACAGAGTCACAGACAGTGCATAGTAGCAGTCAGGGTTCTGCAACACACAATGAGGATCCATGAATGCTATACAACAGTATTTTAATTTTTAGAGTGACTTTTATTGCACTGAACCTTTCAGAATTTCATCTATATGCCATTAAATGTTTGAGATGGTATCACTGCAAGCGCAGGGAATGAAGCTTTTGGTATGCAAGGACTTGTTGTTATTCCCAGGACCATTTCTCACATTTTCTGCCTTGTGCTAAATAATCACAATGTGGTCTGAAGGTTCCTTGTGAGCATACAGCCATCTTGAAAATGGCTGGGGTGGGGTGAGGGAACTTTTCCTTAGTCTCTTCCACTGCAGTGGAGGAGTTTATTGGGACAAGTGCTGCCTGCCTCAGACTATAGCCTCTAAAGAACAGTAAGTCTCCCGTTGCAATTATAACATCATATATTATTCCCTAGCACAAAACAAAGACACTATCCTGAAAACCACTTTGAAAAATCAAAACCGACAGTGAAATTACCTTATAAAAATCTAAAACCAGGAAACTGGACTCTTCTAAACCAAATATTATAAAATTGGTTGACTTTTCTTCTTTGCCTCAAGATCTGTTTCCTGGAGAAATGAGGCAGTAGGCATGCATTCGGAAGATGGTGGGCTCTCCTCCTTTGGAGGTTTTTACAGAGGTTGGATGGCCATCTTTCAGGGATAGCTGTGGTTACTGCATTGCAGGGGGTTTGGACTAGGTGGCCCTTGGAGTCCCTTCCAACTGTACGATTCTATCCTAGTTTGGGAAGGAGTCAGGTGTGGGAGTCTTATTGAGATGCAGGCAGCTTCACCAAAACCAATCCCTTAAGGCAGAAATTTCACCCTGCTCACGACTGAACAGGAACACCACCTTGGAACCCCATGAGTTAAGATGTCGCCACTTCAAAATCTGCCGAGCATCTTTTTGCCATTTGCAAACTCTACCACTTGGAACAGAGTGAAAATGCCACATTCCAAAGGCGAATGTGTTTCCCTACTAGAAGGCACACTGGTTCAGATTTACATGAAAGCAAAGCCCACACCATCACAACACCATGTATACAGTCTCATTTCACTGTAAAGCAGCAATACACAGGACCACAGAAATTCTGGTATGTACGTATTCTCTGTACAACACAGCAGGTTTTGATGTTGTTGGTTTTAATGCAAAGGGTATTTCACTTTTCACTTTTCCTCCCGCAAATCCAACCTAAGCTTACTTATGCCAGACTTTTGTTTAGAATAAAATGTTTGAGAATCGCCACTGGTCTCCAACAGAAGATGAAAGTTAAGGTGCAAATAGTAACGGTTGTTTTACAGCCCTCACTTGACCCTTGCCACTGCAGAGCCTGCCACATATATCCTTTTCTCTTCCTCCTGCAGTCGCACAACAGGCTCCAAGGAGAACAGAAGAACTGAAAGGAGGAAGAAAGGAAGACTTATACATCCTAAATACACATTTGAGCTGGCATATATACTCCTTACCCTTTCCTTCCTTTTAATCAGCCTACCCTTCATTCAGCTCTTTTCTTTACAATTTGCATTCACCTAGAGGGGTTGGTTTTAATTAGTGTTAACGGGAATATTACAATAGGACCTAATTAAGATCTCCGTTAAAAATCCAAAATGCAAACATAATTTGGGGTGGGTGGGTTGCAGACTGGGGGGGGGGGTTTGATGCAAATTTCATAGCTTACAAGACGTAATTATTAATGGGTCTATTCAATTAAACACCACCTATTCTGGCATTATTTAAAACTGAAACGGCGGGAAAGGACAAAACTTCATCCCAGCATATTCTAGTAATGAAGTGTCTGCTGTTTAGGAAAAAAACAATAATAGTTACAAACTATGAGGACACTTACATCTGTTGCCATTATTTTGCCAAGAAGTTATTTATTCATCCATCAGCACCAGCAAAATGCTGTATATAACCTCACCCACGCTTAAGTTTCGTAAGTGTATGGCTATGTGTATCTAGATGCAGAAGAAACTGATCAGAAACCTTCCAATGGCACCATAAAGCGTTTCCTGGCCCCCTACCTGAGGCAATCTGCACACACCCTCATCAGCTTTGGAGAAAATGCCTATCATGCCCCTATCAATAAAGCAGTTACTGTGCAGCATTACAGTCCTGATCTTGGTTCACCAAGAACGCAGAGGGACAGGCCACTGCTATTCCGAATTTATTAGTTCTCGGTTACCAACCTAAAGACACCCACAGCACACTCAGGTGTGCACACACCACTGAGCCAGCCCCCCTAGTTCATGCGGTTGATGGGAACAGGCTGCCAGTCTACACTGTCTGAACAGTTTGCACTGCCAACCCCAGTCTCAGCGGGAAAAGGTGGCTCTTTTCATCCCAAGTCACATCCTATGCTTCTAATTTTGTGCTCCAGGGCCAATCCAGAAGCATAGGCCCCGACTGTACCATTTTACTGTGCCCCTAAACTAGGATAAACTAGGAAGTCCCAGGCTAGGCTGGAATTTTGAATGCAGACCCATTGCCTCATTCCTCCAAATCACACTACAGTTCATCTCCAAGCCAGACCCCCAACTGCAGCCCGCCCATCCCCTTCCCCGCAGTATCAGCTGGTCTTGAGTTTCTTTTGGCTGGTTCTGTAACTGAGGGGTTTTCCTCCCACCCCCCACCCCCCACACACCATGGGGGGGGGGGAGAAGCAGTTTAAAGACAATGCTGCCCCTTAGTCTATTCTCCTTTCTCCAGAGCATACTCACACGCTACATCTAACAAAGCCAAAAGAACAGAGCCAGCCAACTGCTGTATAAATATCAAATCTGTAAAAGGTGGAAGGAGGAGGGGGAGAGGAGAGAGACAAAAGGCAAGGTATGAATTGGCACAATACTGTAATCTTCAACCACAGCTAGTATTTGGCTTTGCGGCTTGGCGCTTGCTAAAGTTATCTCCCATTTCCCCTGGAGCTAGTTTGCTCCAGACTGCTTCCATAATGATTTCTAAGGGAAGCTCTCATTGCGAGCTCCCTGCTGAGGTGTAATAATGTGTGTGTGATAACACAAGGGGAAAGGGGGGTGGGGGTTGGAAAGGCACCGCTGGGTTATAAATCCCCTCTCCCCTTCTAGTCTCTGGCAATTCAGCCTGGGATGGTGTTGCAGATCTGTTCAGGGAGCTTAGCTCGGTATTGTTATTCTGCACAGCAACCCAACTTCTCTATGAAGGCTGCAGAAGAAACAATAAAGAGAGGGATTTTGCTCTGCGCTACCCCCACCCGCCACTCTTAGCCGAGCTTGCAACCGAGGAGGTGGGCAAAGCCAGCGGCACTACGATCCCCAAATGTCACTAGTTTCAACCTCGAACCTTTAAATAAGAAAGTTTAAGCGCTCATCCGGCTTCACTAAAACAGGCTCCTCCACCCCACACATAACACTCCCAGCATCTCTTCCCCACGACGCCAGATCCCTCCCCGGGCGAATTAAACCCAGGTCAATCTTCTCTTCCCCACAGCCAACAACAGGAAGGATCTACAAGTTACCATCGACCAGATTTTCCAGCACCTACAGCCCCAGCCCACGCATGTTTACTCAGAAGTAAATCCCGCCGAGTTCACGGGCAGTTGCTCCCAAGCGCACCTAGGAGTTTTCCAGAGCGGAGGATCATCACACTGCAGGGACACGAGGTCAAGTGTCGTGTCACCCTGGAACTAGAAATGCGCCACTCTGGGAATCTCTCTGCGCGCCCCACCGCGGAGCGAGGCGGCGGAGAGAAGGGGGGGGGCTGCAACTGCTGCTGCTACTGCTGTGGGGTGGTGGGGGTCGTAGAGGAGACCTCGCCAACACGCCAGAAGAAACGGCAGAAGAGAGATCAAGCGCCACCATCCCATCCCCCCACACCCCTCGAAGCGCGCACGCTGCTCGCCATTATTGGGGGGAGGATTAGCCAAGTGTCTCCGCGCCTCCCCCGCAAGGAATGAATCATCTGCCAGAGTCAGGCTTCGAAGCGGCCCCACACACCACCGACGGGAGGGAGAGGGGTTGGAATTGGCAGCGGCGCCCCCGCCCCCACCCCCTCCAAACCCCGCGCCTCACAGCTCTCGCGCGCCGGCTGCGCCTTCAGCCAGGCTTTTCCCTGACACCACGGGGATTTCCCACCCCCCACCAGCCCAGCTCGCCTCGTGCGCGCGCCTCCGTCCCCTCCCCTCTCCGGACTAACCCTGAGGAGAGGGGAAAGACCCAGGCCAGAGACCCCCTTTCCCGCGCAAAAGCCCCCAAAGAGAGGGAAGAAAAAGGGGAGGAAAGAAGGAAAAAACCCCGCGGTGAGGGAAGGCGAGCCCAGGCGACAGGCGGCGCCCGGGCAGCTCTGGCGGGTGACTCACGCTTCTCTCTCAGTGGTCCCTGCGGCGGGGGCAGGCGAGTGCAGGAGCCCCGGGTCCCTTCGCCACGAGCGACATCCCCGGGGCAGCCCGGTGGCAGGAGGACGACGGAGGAGGAGGAGGAGGAGGAAAAGGAGGCGGCTGGACGCGCCGAGCGAGGAGGGGAAGGACTCGGAAGAGGAGGCTCTTGTGCGCCCGGCTCCGGCTTGGCAGGCTGGCAGAGCACGCGGCTGCGCCCGAGCCGCCTGTAGCCCCGAGCGAGCGAGCGAAGAAGGGAGCGCGCGAACCCGCCCCCGTCGCGGGGGAGGGGGAGCCCCGAAGAGGCCACGTGCGGTAGCACCTGCGCCCGCCCCTCCCCCTACCAACACCCCCCCCCCCCGCCGCGCTGCGCAGGGAGGGAAAGGCTCGCAGAACAAGCGCCTCTCCCCCCCCCCCGCTTCAGAGCGTCTGTTTGTCCGTCCACCTTCCCCAAAGCCTGAGTTTCCGACAAGTCCCAACAGCCTCCCAGGGGCCAAGCCGTTCGTATGCTTGGGCAACCCGCACCCGGCAATCTAAGCCTGCCCCGGTTGTCTGAGGGCAGGCTGTAGGGAAGGAACGGCATCCTTCTGAACCTTCCCCACCAAACAGCTGCATCCCAAAGGTGTCCCTGCACATCAAGCCCATGCGCTTTGCCTCTCTCACCCACAAGTTCCCCCAAACCACCTTAGGGTCACACCACTTTGTCATGCCCCTCTCTGTCCCCGAGGCAGCCAGCAGCACCTCCCAACCTGCAGGATGCTTAGCAGCCGGTAGTGCTTTCCTCTGGATTTCTAAAACTTGGAAGCAGCTCTTCTCACAAGCAGCAGCCTACAGAGCAATGTGGCCAGCTGCACTTGCCCTAGAAGTCTCTCCAGCATAACTGTTCCTTGCAAGTTGCTGCCTACCAGCAGTGCCGAACTCCAGGGGAAGGACTTCTGCAATCTTTCATAATATGGTGCCCTGTGCAAGGCCAAAATATAGCACCCTGAAATGGATCTTAGCAATTATGGGTCTTCTCGATTTTGCGCCCCCTCAGCTTGGCACCCTGTGGGGGGGAACCACCCACACTGCCCTAAATCCAGTGCTGCTAACTCCCTGCTTCTTCACACCCACATACACACAATATTCTGCCCCACCTTCTGCCCTAACTCTAAGACGAGTCCCTTTTCTCTGTTCCCTCCTTGTTGGAGGGGAAGCTGGTGGCAACTAGAGAGGGGATCATTTTGGGTCATGACATCCCTGTCACAGAATGCTCTCCCCTGCAAAACTCGCCTGGCAACAACATTGGTTGCCTTTGATTGCCAGGCAAAACCCTTTTTATTCTCCCAAGGTTTTAAAGTTTCTTCCTCAGCATCTCACATCCATCTTTGGATATATGCCTCTTCAAGCTCTCTTCATTTTCTGTTCTCTGCTTTCTGCAGCCATGTAACACCTGCTGTTAGTTTTACATGGCCTGCCCATTGCATAGGTGGTCATCGTCTTGTCTTTTGGAATTGTAGGGTCTCCATACTAACAACACGGCTTTATTCCATCGGCCTGACTCATCTCTTGCCACATATTCTGCAGATGCCCATTTTAACTGTGTCCTTTTCCATAACATTCAATTATTGTTGTATCCTATTAGTAGTTTTTTTAATCTTTTAATGATATTTCAAACATTGCCCGTTCCATGGCATGTTGTGTTATTCTTAAACTGTTCGTGTTCATCTGAGTCTTGGTCCAGTTCTCCACTCCATAACATATCACAGGTAATATGCACATATTGAACATTTTTATTTTATTTTTATTTTTATTTTTCATTATAAAGCTGAGTTTTCCACATTTGTTTTATTCTGCTGTTTGATTTTCTCTTCCCGGCATTATTTTTTTGGACCTAAATGGATGTACTATTGTACATCTTGCACTATTTTATTTATTTTCTAATTTTATATCATTTTCTTCTTTAAACATGGCTTTAGCCTTGGCTAGATTCATCTTTGGCCCTACCTTTTTATTTTTATTTAGTTCTTCCAGTATTTCTTGTAGTTCTTGTTGACTTTTGGCTAGTATGTTTATATCACCTACTTTTTGTAGAAGATTTAGATATCTTCCAAAGATGTTGAGTCCTTTTTCTGACCATCCAACTTTTAAAAGACATTTACCAAGGTGACAGTAAATAGCTCAGATGATACAGCAGGTATCTTCAACCTTTTCAGACCTAGGACACACTGTTAACCCAAACATTCATCTGGGACCCATTTCTTAATCTTTCACCATATATTTGCATGGTGGAAGTGCTCCTGTTGTGACCCACTATGGCTCAGACTGTGACCCTCTTGTGGGTCCCGACACACCAGCTGAACACCAGTGCAATAAAGTATCTTTAAATGCACTTTTAATTTTTGTTGATCACTCTGTTTTTATCTATTGTTGTTTTTATAATGCGGTTTTAGTGTTTGTGGATCTTTAAAACTGTCCTGGAGCCATATCTGAGGAAGGGCAACATATAACTTTTTAACCAAATACAGTGGTACCTCAGGTTACAAACACCTCGGGTTACAAACACTTTGGGTTACAGACTCTGCTAACCCAGAAGTAGTACCTCCGGTTAAGAACTTTACCTCAAAATGAGAACAGAAATCGCAGCGTGGCGGCAGCGAGAGGCCCCATTAGCTAAAGTGGTACCTCAGGTTAAGAACGGTTTCAGGTTAAGAACAGACCTCCAGAACGAATTAAGTTCGTAACCAGAGGTACCACTGTAATTAAGAAAATGCTGGGCATCTACATGAGATTCATTTGCAGGACACATTTGCAAGGCTGAAATAGATCAACAACAGCTACCCAGTACAAAGCACACCTGGGCTGGATTTCATGCCAGATGCATTTTGTAAACCTGAAATAAGATAGTGATTGGGAATATTGGGAAGACAAAGGAGAATGAACATTTACTCTCCACGCAGCTCTCAATCACTAACTAATTGCATGTTTAGGTAGTACATCCTGGATGAGATTAGCGGCATTGGTAGCATACTAATCTTAACAGTAAGGCTGTCAGCTGATTGAAGAAAGCTGTCAAACATATAAGTTTCACCAAGCAATCCTACGCTTACCTTATTCAGATCTAGAGATATGCCCCTGTCCTTTGCCCACTCTGTGCAGCTGTGAAGGGGCAGAACACTGCCACAGCCCACCAAGCAGGGTCTACACTGGTGATGACAGCCACATGCAACCCATAATCTCCAACATGAAAATAGGGAGTACATCCTAGCCAACACACAGAAGATGCGAGTGAACAACAGGCCCACACCAACCTCTACAGCACGCACATGCGCACACAACATAGTCCCAAACCATCTGCCCCGGTGACACAGTGAACAATGGCCAATCCCTTGCAGAACAGGATTTGAATGCCCTTGTGCTCCTCACAACAACCATAGTTTTCGGAGCACAACACACACTGGGGAAGGAGGAGAAGGCATGCAACAAAGCACCTTCGTAGGTCCCTGGGGAGACCATACACAACCCTCCGTGGGGCAAGGGCTGAAGAGTTTTTGGGAGAGTTTTTGACAAGCAGCCCCAAAGAGGGGCCAGGACATGCAACAAAGGCGACCACAGACCACCAGTGGCAGCAGCAGCAACGCTCCTACTGGCATAAGGCATGGAGCTGCAAAGCAGGAGATAGGAGTTTGAGTCCCTCTGGGAGTTGAGAGCAGAAGGCCCAACCCACCTTTCACATGTCTGGTTAAAAAAAGAAAGCCGAGGGGGGTCAAAAGAGAGGGATACACAGGGACTCAACCCCAGACTGGAACCACAGAACCAGTCCCACTCAGACACAGCAGCAGAAAAGAATCCCATATGTCATAGGACATTTGACACTCCAACTCTACCCACTGCACTCGCAAGGCCCAATCACAGCTTCCAGGGGTTCAAAAGCTGCAGGAGGCCAAGTTTGTTGATGATATCAAATTATTCAGGACAGTTAAAACAAAAAGCAATTGCTAATAACTTCCAAATTGAACGAGCATTAAAATGGCAAATGTGGTTCAGTGTAAGCATGTGTAAAAAGCTGCACATCGGGGTATAAAAATCCACGCCACCCCTTTTTTTCAATAGGAGGGAAATCCCTTACACCAGGTCTGGGGCAAGTATAAAATTCTGCCATCACTGGGGACATGGATGTGGACTGAAAGGATACAGAATTTGGCATAAGTGTGCTCCTCCCCCTCTTGTGCCAAACACATCTCTACCCACCAGCCATCTCATCACCATATATACATTTTCCCCCAAACTTTTTTTTTAATGAAAATATAACAAATAGCACAAACAAACTAAAAGTTACAGGAACAGTGACGAAGTAATAATTGCTGCTTCACAGAAAACAGTTGCCATAGAAAGGTCCACCGTGATATCCAAATTTCACAATATGGCAAGTACAGAGAGCTTTGTACATCAAAGTCCAAGGTGTGAGAAATAAAGACCCTCCAAACAGGGATGGACATTGGAAATATGGCATGGCCAAAATTTGACACACACACCCCCCTCATGCCACCTTCCCAAAACTGGGTAAACAAGGCTGGGTCCAAAAGGCCTCCCATTTCTTTCCCAAAGCTGGGCAAGCACTAACAAGGCTTTGGGAAGGAGGTGGGAATGGGTCTCCACCCTGGCTCAGTGCCTGGGGAAGGGGGGACCAGTTGCACTGCCCTAAATCCCCCTTTGCAAACAGTGCAGAATTGTTCATGGTCCTCTGCACCTTTGGAGACATGCCGTTTATGTGTTATTTTCTCTGTGCGGTAGCCAGAGGCCACATATTTTTATACAACAGAAAAAGCTTTAGGTTCTCCACCAGCATATCTTCTCCAGTGGAATGGCTCTGTCAGCAGAGTGTTCTGCAGGCGTATCAAGGGAGTTGTACCGGCATATCTGACATACACGCCACAGTCCAATCCCTGACCGGTTTCTTTCTCGTGTTGCAATTACATTGTTATGCTAGTGAAAATTCCCTGTGCTGCCATAGTTTCCCTGTGCAGGCAAATCTTCATCTTTCAGCACAAGGGGAGTAAGAGTTCACCCCATCCCCCACTACTCCCCCAGCAGGCTTGAGTCAGGGATAGGATTGTGCATAAGTTTCCCAGTAATTCATAGCAAATTTGTTGGTTGAACAAAATTGTGGAGAGAAGCTGAGCAAAAACATCAACACCACAACAGGTATATTATATATCTTATTTCATATCAATTTTTTTGCAATTATGTATAATTAATGTTATTATGATTGCAGTGCCAACATGTATCTGTAACTGATGCTGCAATAAAAAACAACAACAACTAACTGTTTGAAA